CAGTGAGACAGCTCTTTCCTGGCACGGGCACACAGGGGAAGCCGCATTAGGCAGATGGCAGGGGAGTAAAGCTTGCTACAGAGACCACAGGGCTTGCAGGGCCTGGACGGCAGTGAGCAGATTACAGCCTGATCCTCTGCCCTCAAAGAGCCCCTGACCCATTTCTCCGTGGGAAAGGAAAGGGCCGCGGTTTAAGACAGACAAGCAGAGGGGGCAGAGGCTGCGGCCAACACAGGCACTTTCTATCCACGCTCTCTTGGTTTCTGGAGGGAGCAGCCAATGGGAGCTGTCAAGAGTGACAAGGGACATCAGAGGGCACAGGTGCATTAACGGGGAGTCACGTGGTTCATGTGTCAACCGCCCTTGCTTACACAAAAATACAACAGAACCCAGCCCTCCCCCTACAACCCGGGGTCTTATCTGGCCCACGTCCCATGCGGCCACGCCACCACCCCAAATGCACAGGTGTCTCAAGGCAGGATCACTGCGGGGGCGGGGGCGGCTGTCCCGAGATCTGGGACACAAGGTAAAGAGAATGGGCCAAGGCCTGAAGACGGCCCGGGATGGGCAAACTGTCCCCTGCTGGGCGGCAGCGCGGGATGCGGGATGCGGGATGCGGGATGCGGGATGCGGGATGCGGAGGTCTGGGCAGCCCCGGCCCCTGAAGGTCAGCGGCCTCCCGGGCAGGGCGAGCAGGACCTCCGGTGCCTGGAGGGTCCAAGGCTCCTTCGGAGGCTCCCACCGGGGGCGCCCCTCGGCCGTCGGAGGTCCTGGGGCTGGTGCTTCGGGGGTCTGCCTTCCTCACTGATGGCCGGAGGCAGCCCGGGGCCCAGGGTCTGTTTCAGCCCCGGCTCCAGGTGCCTCCCAGGCCGGCCGGGCTCCGGCGGGGTCCGGGGGAGACCCGGGGACAGGGGCGGGGACGCGGAGGGCAACAGGTGATCAGCCGCGCCCGGAGCCAAGTTCTCGGCTCCCGGGCCGACGGCGGCCCAGGCTCCCCCGAGGTCCGGCCGGCCCCCCGCCGCACTTACGCGCTCGAGGGTCCACCGCTGGGCAGAAGCGAAACTTTCTGGGGCCCAGCGGAAGAGTGCGGTAGCGCGGCGCGGCCCGCCATGACACGCAGAGCCGCCGCAGGAGGGCGCGGACTACAACTCCCGGCATGCTCCGCACAGCCGGCGCCTACAAGTCCCGTCGGACCCCACAGCCCAGGGGCGCGGACTACGACTCCCGGCTCGCTCAGCGGGGGCCCAGGTTTGCATCTCCCCGGGGCGCTGCGGTGTCACCCCGGCCCCGGCTTCAGCCGTGCAGTCCCCGCGGGCTCCTGTGGCACCCGAGAGCAGCGCTGTCCCCGGGCGGCTTTGGGGAACTTGAAATGCGGCTAGTTCGAGCTGAATCGTACATGGGCTGTGAGTGCAAAACACACCTGACTTCCAAAGCCTTAGTATGGAAAACAAAATGTGAGACGGCTTATCACTACTTTTTTTATTATTACTATTTTTTTTTATTGAGTACGTGTTGAAACGGTAATATTTTTGATACGTTGGGCAGGCCAAATGAGAAGCGCTGTGTATTGCTGGGGCTTCCCATCTTTTGATCCCCTCTCTCTGTATCGCAGGGACCTATTTGAATGCAGTGCTCAAAAAGCGTGTGTTGATGAATGAAGCACCGCCCCTGCCTTCTGCTCCGCGCTCGGCCCGGTTTCTGTTTGTAAGTTCTATTTTCTGTTAATGAGTTGCAAGGCATCCTGAGGCCGGACTCAAGAGAACCAAACAAGTGACATCTAACTGAAGAGCGGCAGCAAGCACACGGGGCTCTTCGGCCTGTGGCTTGAGGCCTGGGCTCTTGTCATTCCTTAGCTCCGGCTGCACCGTCTTTTACTGTCTGCCCCTGTTCCCACCATTTAATCTAGAATTACCTTTCTATCTCACAGGACTTAGCTGGTTTTGTCCAATCAGGCACCATGGCCCCAACATTACCTGGGTGGAATAGTGCAGGAAAGGAAATAGATGTCCTCATTAAGTTCAGGGTATGGCATGTCATTAGTGCTCTTTTAGGAATTATTAGGTATAGGGGATCCCTGGGTGGCACAGCGGTTTAGCGCCTGCCTTTGGCCCAGGCGCGATCCTGGAGTCCCGGGATCGAGTCCCACGTCAGGCTCCTTGCATGGAGCCTGTTCCTCCCTCTGCCTGTGTCTCTGCCTTTCTCTGTCTCTCTCTACCATGAACAAATAAATAAATAAATCTTTAAAAAAAAAAAAGAAATTATTAGGTATAGATAAGTCAGTGATTAGATGGATTAGACTAGTCAGTTTGTGGGGGTCGTGAAAAGTGATTTCTATTCTTCTTGTTAAAAACTGTGAAAGGAAGAGGAAAGAGGGAGAGAATGGCAGAGGAATAGTCATTGTTCCAACCACGGTCTGAATGGTTTTATGACATATCAAGGATGGGAGAGGTTTTTTTTTTAATATTTTATTTATCATGAGAGACACACAGAGAGAGGCAGAGACACAGGCAAAGGGAGAAGCAGGCTCCCTGCAAGGAGCCCGATGCGGTACTCAATCCCAGGACCCCAGGATTATGACCTGAGCCAAAGGCAGACGCTCAACCACTGCGCCACCCAGGCACCCAAAGGATGGGAAAGATCTTAAAGTCAGATTTTAGTGCCACTTTTTTCAGGACTATGACCTCACATCCTCAGGACTGTGACCCCACATGTTCAAAGCTGTGGCCCCAGTGAATAGGTCATGACCCCACATGCCAGAGGACTTGAACTCATGTCCCCGGGGTCGTGACCCCACGTGTTTGAGGCCATGTCCCCACTTTATCGGAGCTATGAGTTCACATCCTCAGGGCTGTGATACTTCATGCTCAGGTTCATGACCCCATGTCTTCCAAGTCGTGAGCCTTGTGCTAGGGCCTGAGGCCCCACTTGACTGGGGCTATGACCCCTTGCCTCAGGCAGTGACCCCACATGTTTGGGGAGTGTGACTTCTCTAAGCCTCGATACCCTCCTTGGTCAAAGTGGAAATAGGAAACTTCCCAGGGCGGCCGTGAGGTGTAAAAATGTATGGGCCCAGCACAGAGTAGATCTCAGTAAAAGTCAGCTTCCAATCTTCTATATGGGCAGGGTAAACCCTGAAGCCTCATGAGGAGCTCTGAGATGCACTAGAATTCCTTGCACACCCACTGAGATTGGTGCCATGTATTAACCTGTTCATGCTGCCATAACAAAGTCCCTCAGACCAGGTGGCCTAAATAGATCTCTAGGCCAGAAGTCTATGGTCAGGGTGTCTGCAGGGATGTCTTCTTCTGAGGCTGTGGGAGAGCACCTGTTCCATGCCTCTCTCCTAACTTCTGGTGGGTGCTGGCAATCTTTGGTGTTCTTGACTTATGATAGCATAACTCCGATCTTCACATGGCTTTCTCCCTTTGTCCGGATCTGTGTCCAAATTCCCCCTCTTTCCCCCCTGTCATATTGGGTTATGGGCCTGCCTCACCTCTCTTTTCGTAATTACACACAAAGTAATGCTCTTTACAGAGAAGGTCACATTCAGAAGTACTGAGAATTAGGACTCAAACCTAAGAATTTGGTAGGGAGGAGGAGGAGGACACAGTTCAACCCGTAACATGCCTGAAGCTATAGGTTTGTGTTCCCTAAAGAACCTCATGGAAATGCAACTCATGAGATTATAGGCCCACACATCTCATTTTTTTAATCACAGGAAAGGATCTTAGAGATAACTAGTTTAAACCTCTCTAGTTAAGTTAAATAAATAAGGAGAGGAAGTGGCTTGCTGAGGACCCAACCAGAAAGGTGAATGTGATTTCCTATGAAGACCAATATGTGTGGGTTTCCTCTAATCTTTAAACAGAAGATGCTTTGAAAAATTAGTAGTGTTCAGTGTTTTTTAAAAGTCACATTATCCTTATTGCTGGAAAAAGTTAGAGGCAGATTGTTGTACCAATTGTAACCAAAGTGGGGGGAACAGATACAGATGGGTATTTCCTTCCCTAAACTACCATAGTTTACTGCAAAATGCTTTGAAATGGTTTCCATGACACATTTAAGGTGACGTATTCAAGGTGTGCATTTCCAGTTGTGTGGACAATGGAGCCATATCATTTTCTCTGAGTCAAGAAGGTTCATCCAAGTCACCTGGGAAAAAGATCAGCACTTCCCTAGGACTAGAGTAGTCCTATGGAAATCTATCCCCAAATAGGAATGACCAGAGGCTGGCCAACTTGAGAATGGGGCTAATTTGTCTTTGTGATTTTCTACCTCCCAGCACGGGCTTTCCACTGCTTCCCAGAGTAGGCCTCTACACATGTGGCCAGGAACATCCTTGAGGTCTATGTGCCCCCCTCTCACCCTCTGGCCTGATACCATGCTTATAACTACCCAGTTCTCCATGCCCATCCATTGCCTATATCTTCTCTCTGACCATGATTTCTGATATGGCCCAAGTCAAGGAACCAAGCTGCTATTGTCCTCCTTGTGTCCCTTTGGCCACGCTTTCTTTTGTGGAGGGATTACGGGTATGGGAGAGGAGGTTACAACCACCCTGTACCTAAAATCTGGGCTGGCCTCAGGGTAGAGAGGGGAGTCCAGGATAACCCTTCTCAAACTTCCCTAAGACCTGTAAAGTGTTTCCCACCAAGTTTTCAGGATACCTGAAATTCACAGCAGGAAGTGTGCCATTCCTTCTGATTGGAAGGCTGATCTCTGAAAAGTCTTTGTTCTGACACAATGTTGATCACAAAATAGGAAAAAACCTTGGACTTGAAGACAGTCAACTTAGGTGCCAGGCCAAGGGAGAGATGGGGACAGAAAACTGAACCATGGAGCACTCAGGACACACTTGGCCTCCTGGATTTTGCGAGGCCTAAAAGGAGTCAATTTCCTACCATCCTGACCCACATAAGTTCCACACTTTTTAAAAAAAGATTTTATTTATTTATTCATGAGAGACATAGAGAGAGGCAGAGACATAGGCAGAGGGAGAAGCAGGCTCCTCACAGGGAGCCTGATGTGGGACTTGATTGCAGGACCCCAGGATCACTACCTGAGCCAAAGGCAGATGCTCAGTTACTGAGCCACCCAGGTGCCCCTTATTCTACTCTGTATCTCCATGGTCAATATCCAGTCCTCCTCCTGTGTTCCTCCCTCCACCCTAAATCATAACCCAGATCACCCATAAGCAGAGAACTTTTGGGAGTTGTATATAATGACGTTGGGCAGAAATGAAGAAAACACAGCCAGAGGTGCATCCATACATGCTAATTTTTAATTTGTGCATATGATACGATGATGCTTTCTGTCTTTATGAGATGATTACAGTAGTGATTCCTATTTGGGGCTGAATCATTGGCAAAGCAAGTACTTTTATGCATGTGACCTCATGTGCATCTCCATAGTGTGGGTAGAGTCTGTCTTTGCGTCACTGGCATTTATATAGCTTTACAGATGAGGATACTGAGGGTCTGAGAGGCCCAAGATCATAGTGAGTCAGTAAAGGAGTTTTGGGGTTTGGGTCTAGGGCTCAGGTCCTGAGAGCCTTCTCAGATAGTCTACTTTGGGATCTATTCTGCTGTGCTTTTCTAGATGTGTGGGCCTCTTTGTCCTGTCACATGTAGGTTCCACAAATGAAAGCTGTCAGGAGTTCAGCAATTGGGCAATGTCTGGGCTGATGGGCCCTAGGGAAGAGTTCATGGGAAGCCATTAGGTGGTACCTGGTGGAAGATATAATGTAAGCAAATGTGGAAAGAAAAAACGGAAGTAGAAAAAAGCCCAAAAGATGGTCTCTTATCTACTGACTCAACCAACCACAAACATTGCTGGGCACAGAGGGAGACTCTTGAGCTACAATATGAGGCTTGTGCCCTTGAGGAACTTCTACTCTGGCTGGGGTCATTTGAGGTCTGGGGCTGCCCTGAGCTTAGAGTTCCTATTCAGTGACGAGCAAAGTTCCTGTTTTCCTGATTTTGTCCGAGTAAAGGGAGGTAGCAATGCTGTGAAGACATCTTCCCTAGGAATCACTGTGGTTTTTTAATGAGATGAGCGGCAGAAGCAGCAGGAGGTCGGTAGCCCTGTGGTTGGGTCACCTTTTATTGACTAGAGGAGAGGGACAGGTCCACAAGAGACTAGCTGAGGTTGAATCATGGTTCTGTGGGTGGAGAGAGGGGAAGGCAAGAGGTTGTGGCCAATGGAGGGTGTGGTCAAGGTATATAGAGAGTAGCCACTAGCCTGTAGCTTTCTGGCTGCTTTTTTCAGGAGTCTTACCCACAGTTCCCTCTCTGATACAATGTGCCTCTGTCATCCCATTCATACCTTTCCTTCTCTGTGCCTCTTTCCTTGTCTTCCCAAGGAACTAGACTGGGAGAAGATGCTCTACTCTCTACTCCAGGGAATGACAAAACATCACTAGAAATTTAAGAAGATGGATACACTTGTGTTTAGTGATATGCTCTTGGGGGTATGGGTAAATGTGTTGAAAGAAATACTTAGATAAGCATCTTTGGATGTGAAGGTATGGGATGGAATGAGGAGCTAATGAAGCACACCTCTCAAAAGGCATACTCTGTAGTGATGTAAGACCTCCAAACCTGCCTTCTAGGAAGAGTGGGATTAAGGCTACACTGCTTTGATTTTGGAGGGTGTGAACAAGAGTCTTCTGCTCTTCTCATCCCTGGGCTCATCCCACCTTCTGAATGAACATTGAATGGAGTTTTAATAATATTAGTTTGAAAGGGGCACTGAATGATCACCCCAATCGGAAGCCTATGGGCTTAGCTCTGAGCCCATTACTACCTCATGTCTCCTTCCTTTTGCTGTTTTCTATCCGTGGTAAGTGATGTCCTCAGCTATTAGTTGGCAAGTCCATAAGAGCTCTATCCCTTTGTTGGTTACCACCTAGTTCTCTTCAGCAAGTGCTACTGGCCTAATTCTTAAAACTAGACCTCTGTCTTTCCCAGCCAAGTAAAATGCCTCCAAGGCTGGCCACCCAAATGCAAATGCATAATTGAAGCTGGAGCTGAAGGAGTGGATGCTTTTGTGCTCTCTAGGCTCTAGCTGAGGGCTGTAATAGTAGCTACTTTATTTGGTAAGCATATATTGAGTGCCTACTCTGTGTAAAGCCCTGCTCAAGGGACTATGGAAGACTTTGGAATTCTCATTTTCAAGGACCTATAGCCAAATATATCTAAGTGGAATGCAGGTCAGAATCACCTGGGGAGATTTTCCAAAGGCTCCACTCCAGAGCTAAGTCAGATTGGGACCAGGTCTGTGTGATATGGGAAAGTTTAGAAGGTGAGTTTTATCTATGTCCTTGGATGTGACACTATGGGACAGTGTAAGAGGCAGGCATGTGTACCACTAACTAAAAAGCAAGGTCAAGTATAGCTATTTCCACTGAGAGGGATAAACAAGGTGCTCTGAGGGTATAGACTAAAGAAGAAAGATAACTATCTATAAACTAGCATCCTGGGGCAGGAAAGGTAGACTATATTCCCTAGGCACGGGTCTCCAAAATGCATAAATTAGAAGAATAATAACAATTGTCATTCTTCGCTCCCATGCAATATATAGTGATAGAAAACCAGGGCCAGTGCTTGGCAGAGTGCAAGAAAGACCAGGTTCCTGCCCTCAGACAGTTTGCAGTCCAATGGGGCAGGATGATAAGACATGTACAAGTGTAACTATGACACATGGTGGAGAGTGACAAATGCTATTTTATAGGGGACAAGTAGAGTGCCACAGCACCCCAGAGAGTGCTCTTCTGATTTACAGATAGAGGAGGGCTTCCTGAGGAACTGGCCTTTTAGGTGGTGAAAGAGATGAGCAGTAGGAGGATGCTGAGGAAGTAAAGCCATTGGGGATGGAACCACAGGCATGTGATGAACACAGGCAAGGATATCTCTGAGGGCCTTGGAGAAGGCAGAGTCCACAGGACTGGGCTGTGGGAGTAGGGGAAGGGAAATGCAGGACTTAGGGATGACCCAGGTTTGGAGCATTAGTGGCTGGAGGAAGCTGGTGCCATCAACCAGGCAGGTGGAGAACATTTTAGGTGGACAGTGATGAATCTAAAGCATCAGCTCAATATCCAACTAGAGAGGATGAGATGTTACAGAACTCTTTACCCTGGATGCCTTAGCCAAGGCGGGTACTTCTTTATCTGGACCTTCAGAGCTGGACTGTTGGTACCTGTAGGATTACAATAGTATCTCATTATCTTTATGTCTTGCAGATAAATGCTTCATGTGGAAGGTAGCACTTATTGCATTCATTCTTTCCACAAAAGATTTATGGACTGAATATGCAGGTGCCAATTCATGTGGCAGACACTGGAGCTATGATATGGGACATGTCTCCCATCTAATTGTGGGTTTTCAGAATCCTGATTGCGTCCTGACTTGTTATTTGAGGATGTGCTTATCTTGGCCTTGCAGAATAGTCTCATCCAGCAGTCACTGAGGAGTGCAGAGCCAATCCCTCCAAAGTCAGCTGGCACAACCCTGCAGTGGAGCAGGGGACAGATCATCTGCCAGCAGCCTGCATTTGTACAAATAGCACACACATTGAGTCTCAGACCTCATAAAGTCTTGAAGGACCCTCCTTTCTGGGAATCCTTCCAAGTTTTGGAAGTCTTCTGGACTAAGCAATGTCCGAATGAATGAATTCATGAAGGAATGGATGGTGAACTCAGAATCCAAGAAGTGTTTTTCTGGATGGTGATCTAAAGTTTCCAGGTGGGAGCCACTGTCTGCAGGAGAGGAGACATGAAGCCTCTGCAGGTGGAAGCTATTTCTCTCACCCCATCGTCATGGCCATGGCATTTGCCAGCGTGCCCTCCATGATGCTTCTTCCTGCTCCCACTCTAGCAGCTCTGTCCACCTCCATTGGCACCACCAGACTCCCTTTCAATAGAAGGAGGCACCCTCATAGTTGAAGGCACCCGCGGAGTGAGGGGGAGTGCTGGGTGCCTGCTGCTGGCAGAGCCAGAAGTGCTGGAGTAGACTTTTGAGATGCCTGCGGAACTTGACCCCGACAAAAACGTAGAGCACTGGGTTGAAGCAGCAGTGGGAAAAGGCAACATTGCGGCAGATGAGCAGGGCATAATCTATCTGCTGGCTGAGCTCACAGCTCTGGATGACCCCGAGTTTCAGCAGTGTCTGTAGAAACAGGACCAGGTTGTAGGGAGCCCAGCTGAGGAAGTAGGCCACCACGATGGTGAAGATGAGCCTGACTGTCCGGGGGCGCCGTTTGGATCTTGAGCGGAATAGGGTCCTGAGAATCTCCACATAGCAGAACAGGATAATGCCGATGGATAGCAGGAAGAAGATGTTGTGCTGGTAGACCGAGGTGAGGAACCACTTGTTTTCTGAGTAGTGACAGCCTTCGGGAAATACCTTGTGGAAGATGGCATCAGGGATGGAGGACAGGATGCTGGTTGCCCACACAGATGTGGTCATCAGCACACGGCACTGGAGGGTGTGGACGCGCAGGGACGAGAGGGGTCTCACTACTGATATGTAGCGGTGGATAGTCATGATGGTCAGGAAGAAGATGCTGCTGTAGAGGCTGATGGAGAAGATCATGTTGAGGAGCTTGCAGAGGAAGTCCCCCAGCACCCAGCCCCAGTGGTACCCCATGGCCCACACTGGCAACAAGCAGGAGAACACCAGGTCTGAGAGGCACAGGTTGAGGATGAAGACATTGGTGAGGGATTCCAGGCTCTCATACTTCACCAGTACCCATAACACCAGGCTGTTGCCCACCAGGCTGAGAAGGAACACCAGGAAGTACAAGATGGTGGTGCTGAAGGTGGCAAAGGTGAAGGACTTGGTCTCACACAGAAGGCTCTGATAATCATAATAAATGGTGATGGACTCTGGGGTGCCTGAGGGCTCCATCTAGACATGGAGAGCATCTGAAATGACAGAGATGCAGAATTTCAAACTATGTGGTTAGGTGAGGATCGGAAAAAAAAAAGTGTGGTCCGTGGTCTAGCTACCAGTGATGAACTATATGTAATGAGACTGGGAAATTTGCCAGAACACGAAGTCACAAAACATACTGTTTAGTTTGGGGAGCATTTCTTCTTAGCAAAGCTCTTTTGATGAAGGAAGTGGCACACTCATTTACATTCGGTCACATGCCCCTTGGGACTGGCATTCGAGTAGCACTAAGCTAGACCGTTCTCCCAGTAGGTGTACAAGAAAGAGCAATGGAACTGGATTCAGAGAACTCAAGTCAAATTTACTGTATTTCTGGGCAAGCTGTCTACCCTTCCTGAACCTAAGGTCCTCATCTATAGAATAGGACTAATGATCCCCAAACTGCTCCTTCATTTATTTAACAAATATCTCGTGAGCATCTGCCTGCCTGCCTCCCTTCCTTTGCCTCTCCCTCTGTCCCTCCCTTCCTTTCTTCCTCTGCTCCCTCCTTTTCTTCCTTCCATAAAGTCTACAAATCCTGATGGCAGGAAACTTGCTGTCTCTTGGAACAGGTCTGAAAAAGAAAGGAGCAAGCATTTCTCATGTAAACTCAGGTATGAAATAATCTCAAGACTACTCTGGGAGACCAAGTCGTCACTAACACAGATGATCCCTGAAAAGGAAGTATATGCCAAGTGACTTCCAAAGGCCAAAGAAAAAGGCAGACCAAGTCCAGCTTGCCAAGCAATGGTTTAATAAAGGGGCTTATGGACACAGGTGTGTTTTGGGTGACTGCAAAATGAGTAGATCTCGCACCCCACCTCCCATAAGACCTGATTTTATAGCCCTAGAGGCTAGGGAATGTGTAATGGGAGACAACTGGGAGGAGATGTGTGAGAATAGTTGTGTGTCATAGCCATATCTCCAGAGCAGACCAAGGACGTTATGCCCCAAGTGTACCCTTAAGGGTAATTTATTATACAACTGGTTAGACAAAAGGAAAGAATGGTGGTGGTGGTGGTGGTGGTGGTGGTGTGTGGGGGGGGAGGACTGTGCTCAAGAGGGCTCCAGGTCATAGAGCAGTCATCGTGATGGATTTGTCCAAGATGGCATCAGGCTGCTACATACACTCACTAACACAGAGGATTAACTCTGAGCAGAAAGCTTTCTCATTTGGAAGTTTAGTTTATAGAACATCCTATAGAGGCAAACAAATGGCAATAACCTAAGCATCCAGTTGGAGGGGAGTAGGTAAGAAAACTATATTGAGTCACATTGATTCAATCCCCTGAGTTAGTGAGGTTTGGGAAATGGTGAGACTACAAAACCAGGGGGAGGAGAGGGAAAGTGATTGAAAAACTGGAACTCTGGTTGAAAGAGGTGAGTGAAGATATAGGGCCCTTGGGAAAGAAGATAGGAGATTGGGTGAAGGAGCTGCCTTCACCACATAAGAGCCTTCTCATCACCTACTACGTGCCAGGCACTGTGCTAGCATAGGCTACACACCTGCTTCTTCTGTCCTCTGTCTGTAAGGCACAGCCGCTCCCATTTTACAGAAGAGGAAACCAAGGCTCAGACTGGTGAAGTGACCCTCTTGACTGAATAAAGACAGTAAGCAGGAAGGAGAGAGAGCCAAGCTAGGAGCCGAACACAGGCTCTCCTGCCTTGTGCTTGGAGGAGGAAAATCAGAGGAATAGCCCAAGTTTCTCACTTACCTAGTTTTGGATGGCAGGAATAATAAGGGGGTCTCTGATGAGTCCTGTTTTGGGTAGTAAGTCAATCATGTCTCCAAAGACCAAAGTGGAGATGATTGCAAGTATTACATATTGTTGTTCTCTTTTGTATTCTTTTGATTCCCAACAAAGAATACATATACTTTTGTATGTTTACTGTCTACTTGTGTTTCTTATTTTGAAAGTGTTTATGGATTTTGTTTATTTTTCTGCTTGGAAAAATTTTTAGTCTTGTCAACCTGTTGTGCTTTTTAGCTTTTAATTCTGTCCATGCATTTTTTTATTTATTTATTTATTTATTTATTTATTTATTGACATTTAGAAAGTGAGAGTTTATATTTTAAAGGGGAGCTCATCTGACTCAGTCCAATTGTGCTTGATGACCTCTGACCTATGCCAGGCTGTGTGACAGATGCTGGATTCTAGGGTGGAAACATAACTAATAGATAGTCTCTATCTGCAAGAGCCTTATAGTTTAGAATGAATTAGAAATTGTACAAATGTCTGGGATTTCCTGTAGTGTGCCTAGTTGGAAATGCAGGTATTTGGGGACAGGGCCTTGTAAGAACCCCTCATATCATACAGGTGATCCCTAAAGTCTGCTGTGTAGCTCTTGTCTTCCCCTGACCCAGAGCCAGTGTAGGGCTGACCCATCTTCTTAACATCAACACCTCAGCTGCGTGGTTGGAAATTTCTCAAAATTAAATGGCTTCTCCTGACAGAGAAGGTATCTTGTCCCTCTTTTATTTGAATTTACTAGAAACAAGTAGGTTTACACTCTCAGTGTTGTAACATCTCTGAAGAATACAGAACAAAACAACAGAGAGATGGTTTGGCTTCCTTGGCCGATGATTTGTGTTGCATCGCCAAGACAGAATAATCACACATCTCTACATTTAGTGGAGTTCACATTTTCTCCCCGTATCTGCAGAATAAAAGAAGTCCTTGGGCCAGCCTGAGATGGCAGGGAGCCAGTGACCAATCTACTCGACTTCCATTTCTTCCACCTTACCTAGTCTTTTTCTGATCTGTGGTCCTGAATAATGCAGCCTGACTGAGTTGCTAAGAGGACTTTCTAATTCCTGCTCTGCCAGGGACTGGCAAATATTGAATTATTTACTATGGAGAAGATAATGTAAGTGGGTGTCACTTCTCAGTAACGGTTGAGTAAGCTCAGATGTAACCAAGCATTCTACAGATAAAAACCATAAACCCCACCCCCCAAAAAAACCCATAAACTCTGGAACAGAAACCAAAACTGAACCCCAGAATCTTCTTTTGGGCAATGTTGAGCTACGAGAAGATGGTGAATCCTGGAAGAGACCAGGCATTTGAAAGAGGAGGGCAACTGAATGGAATGGGTAGGATTCCCATTTTTATGTCTTTGGCTTTGGGGCAGGAGCCAATCATGAGGGGCAACTAAAATTCCAGTAGCAAAGTCACAAATTTTTGGTCTTGAAAAACCAGAGGGCTGAGTTTAGGGTAACTACAGCCACTGGACAGGGGAGGAGGGGAGATCACAGAGAGGAAAGGGCTAGAGAGTGAGAGCCCCAGAATCTGTATTTTTACTCTGCCCAAATACTTGGCTGACCTCTGAATCACGAATGCCCCTGTGAATGCTGGAGGCACTCAATTGAAATTGAGCTGCTGCCCACTTCAGGGGAGGCAGAGTTTAGAGTCTGAGCTGGGCATCTTAGTTGTGTGATAACGTGAACAGTATATAAAATAATCATTACTTTTCAAAAGAATGAAATAATCCAGTCTGCACAACATAGCATCCACAATGATCAGGCTATAATACAACACCCCTCGGCATGTGGACAAATAGGAGAACATGGCCCATCCTCAAAAGAAAAAAATGGTCAAGAAACTGATCCTGAGATGACCTAGATGCTAGAATTTGGAAATAAGCATGGAAATGCAATTCTTTTCACTGTTCTCAAGGGACTAAAGGAAAATATATCCCTAATAAGTGGAAAGATAAATCTCAGCAGAGAAAGACAAACCAAATGAAAGACCCAAAAGGAAGTAGAAACCCATAACAATAAGATATATAGAAAAGCCAAAACAATTTGGAAGTAAAACAACATACTTCTAAAGAATCTGAGTCAAAGAAGAAACAAAAAATGAATTGTAAAATATTTGGAATGGAATAATAATGAAAATAGCACATATCGAAATCCATGGCACACAACCCAAACATACTTAGAAATGTATACCTTCAAATGCTTTTATTAGAAGAAAGGTCTAAAATTAATTACCTAAATCAGCGATTCAGAAGCTAGAAAAATAAAAGCAAATTAAACCCAAAGAAAGTAGAAGGAAAAAAATAAATATAAAAGAAGAAATAAAGAAACAGGGAATCAAAAAGAAAGCAAATGTACAAAACTAAAAGCAGTTGTTTGAAAAAGTTTTTTAAAATGTTTTTTAAAAGTTTTTTAAAACTCTAGTTAGATTGAGAGCAGAAAAAGAGAGGACACAAATTCTGAATAGCAGGTATGAAAGAATGTGCATTACTGATTTTAAATGACTAACAAAGAAATATTATCATCAATTTTACATTAGATTCAGCAACTTAAATAATGGACAAATTTCTTTAAAAATTCAACCTACCAAAGCTGACATGAGGTGAAACAGCAAATCTGTAAAGTCCTGCCTTTATTAGAGAAATTTGATTAACTATTTTTTTTAAATCTTCTTACAGAGAAAAAACCCCAGGACTAGATGATTTTTCTTGTGCATTCTGTCAAACTTTTAAGGAAGAAATCATATCAATCCTATACAAACAATCTGAGGTACGGGATGGAATACTTCAAATCATTTCATGGAGCCAGCATAACCTTGATACCAAAACCAGACAAAAACATCACAACAAAGGAAACTACAAAACCAACATCCCTCATGAACATAGGCACAAAATTCCTCAACCAAGTATCAGCACGTCAAATCCAGCGATATATTTTAGAAGGCTAATACATCACGACCAAGTGGTGTTTATCCCAGAAATATGGGTATGGGTTAACATTTGCAAAAATCAAGCAATTTAATCAGTCACCACACTGACAGAATAAAGAGAAAAACTATCTGACACTTTTTGATCTGTGCAAAAAAGTATTTGTCAGAACCCAATACCCATTCATGATGTAAACTCTCAGCAAATCAGAAATTAAAGGGGTGTTGGACATCTATAAAAGCTATTCCACTTTTCTGTTGGTTATTCATTCCTTTACGCAAAATGTCACAGGCACTTCTGGCCTAGGCTTGGGAGGTCTTGGGGATACAAGAGGGAATGGTGCCAAACCCCAAACCACTGTGAGTTACATTCTAGAAGCCTGTTCCCTTTCACCTGTCACTGCTCTCCCTCTCTGTTTCTGCTCGCCCACCTCCACACCAGGACAGCAAATTTAGCTTTCCAGTCCACAGTATGTTTCTGGATCAAGAAACACAGGTCTAAATTATCCAACCACCGATAATAACAATGTCTTACCTAAACGCTTGGAACCAGATAACCCCCTATACTTTCTTCAGTAGAAGGAAAAGAAAAACATGTACATGATAAGTCTGTTCAAAGTACACAGACCAGGTTTTTAGCAATGCAGATTTGAGGGAATCCCCAGACTTGGGGACTCAGAACCTCTGGATGTAGGGCTCAGGACTCCAAATATTTACCACCTCTCCAGTTGTCTGATGCCCACCTAGAGTTTAAGAACCCCTGGTACAAGCTATTAACATGAGAGGAAAACAGAAATATTTGTTAAGGAACTCACCTATATCTACACCTCTTTATGTGCGTCTTGAGGCAGAAATGGCGCTTCTCTGTTGCATATTTGTGCTCTAAGAAACTGAAACACCTGCCCTGCCCAGAAAGTTAGAGGAAGGTAGGGGAAGATTGTTGTGTACAGTTTCAGAGGGAGACAGGGAACATTGACTGATCCCTCTACTTCCCTCCTGGCTTCCAGGCTTGACCCATCCCCAACCCTACTCCCACCCAAGATCTCAGGTCAGAACCTGGCCCCAACACTGGTCACCTGGCCTGTCTCCAAAGCAAGTGGGGTCAACAATTTAAGGGTCATCTGAGCCCCTGGGTCCCACTGAGAATAGAGTGAGATAATTTTGGATTTGGAAGGAATCTTAAAGGATAAATGTTTAAAAAGTTGTATTTGTATTTTAGCAAAAATATATTTGATTAGCATATCAGTCATGTATGATGACGATGATGATTTTAAATTGAGATAAAATTCATGTAACAAAAAACTGTCCATTTTAAGTTGTGGAATTCTATAGTGTTTAGCATATTCACAATATTTACAACCATTATTGCTATTCAATTCCAGAACATTTCCAGCACCCCTAAGAGAAATCCCATACTTGTTAGCTGTCAATCCCTTTCCCGTTTCCCTCCATCTTCCAGCAGCTGCTAATCCACTTGCTGTCTTTATGGTTTTGCCTAATCTGGACATTTCATCAAGTGGAATCATACAATACGTGACCTTCAGTGATGGGCCTTTTTCACTTACTATAATGTTTTGAAAGCTCATCCATATTGCGGCATGTATCACTACTTCATTCCATTTTATGGTTGAATACTATTCCTCTGAATGGTTATACTACATTCATTTACCCATTCATCAGCTGAGGGACATTTGGGTTGTTTCCACTTTTGGGCTATTATGAATAATGCTGCCCTGAACATTTATGTACAAGTTTCTGTATGGACATATATTTTTATTTCTCTTGTGTATGTACTGAAGTGGAATTGCGGGGTTATATGGTAACTCTATGTTTAAATTTTTTGAGGAACTGCCAGACTGATTTTCATAGAGCTGTACCATTTTAATTTCTCATTAGCAGTGCATGAGGGTTCCAGTTTCTCCATATCTTCACCAACACTTATTAAGTGTCTTTCTTTCTTTCTTTCTTTCTTTCTTTCTTTCTTTCTTTCTTTCTTTCTCTCTCTCTCTCTCTCTCTCTCTCTCTCTTTCTCTTCTTTCTCTTCTTTCTTTCTTTCTTTCTATCATAGGGTATGAAATGGTAGCTCACCATGATTTTGATTTACATTTCCTTAATGAATAACAATGTTAAGTATCTTTTCATGGGCTTATTGGTCAGTTGGTATTTCCTTGAGAAGTATCTATGCAGACACTTTGCCTTTTTCAAGTTTGGGTTATTTGGCTTTTTATTATTAAGTTGTAAGCATTATTTATATATTCTGGAAACCAGAGTCTTCTCAGATACCTGATTTGCAAATAGCTTTCCCCATTTTGTGAGTAATTTTAAAATTTGTTGATAGTGTCCTTTCACACACAAAAGCTTTTAATTCATACATACATTTTATATATACGTTTTTTATTCCTGTGATAAATTATATTAGGGTGATGTTAGCCTGACAGAATGAGTTAGGAAGTATTCCCTCTGCTTCTACCTTCTGGAAGAAACTGTAGGGAATCGATGTAATTTCTTCTTTAAATTCACTGGGTCTGGGTGATTTGTTATGGAAAGTTATTAATTATTGATTCAGTTTCTTAATAGTTATAAGCCTGTTTGTATTGTCTGTTTCTTCTTGTGTGTTTTGACAGGTTATGTATTTGAAGGAATTGGTCCATAGGTTATCAGATTTGTGGGCATAATATTCCCCTATTATCTCTTCATGTTGATGGAGTTTGTAGTAATGTCTCCTCTTTCATTTCTGGTATTGGAAATTTGAATCCTCTTTTTCTTAGTCTGACTAGATAAGTTTATTAAGTTTATTAAAATTTTCAAAGAACCATCTTTGGTTTTGTTGATTTTCTTTACAAAAATGGAATCATATTGGGATCCCTGGGTGGCGCAGCGGTTTGGCGCCTGCCTTTGGCCCAGGGCGCGATCCTGGAGACCCGGGATCGAATCCCACATCGGGCTCCCAATGCATGGAGCCTGCTTCTCCCTCTGCCTATGTCTCTGCCTCTCTCTCTCTCTCTCTCTCTCTCTCTCTCTCTCTCTCTCTGTGACTATCATAAATAAATAAAAAATAAAAAATAAAAAAATGGAATCATATTATGCACACTTATTTATCCTTCTTCCTTTAAACAAAGTGGCATGAACATCTTTCCAAGCCTATTTTATTCTTTTTAGCAGCTGAAAAGTATTTCACTGCATTGAGGTGTCATATTTTACTTATTTTCTTGTCAATGCACACTCAGTTTGCCTCCAAGTTTTAAAATTACAATGATATAGAGAACATCAATGACTATATACCTTTAATGCACTGGTATTGATATTTCTATAGGATGGATTTTTAGAAGTGATGGATTTCTGGGTCATATGTGAATTTTACACTTTGGTACATATTGCCAGATTGTCCTCTATTATGGTTGTATTTATTTACATTTCCACAATAGTGTGCAAGTTTCCCCATTTCCTTTTTAAAATTTTTTTTATTGGAGTTCAATTTGCCAACATTTAGCATAACACCCAGTGCTCATCCCGCCAAGTGCCCCCCTCAGTGCCCATCACCCAGTCACTCCAACCCCCTCACCTCCCTTTCCGCTACCCCTTGTTCATTTCCCAGAATTAGGTGCCTCTCATGTTTTGTCACCCTCACTGATATTTTCACTCATTTTCTCTCCTTTCCCTTTATTCCCTTTCACTAATTTTTATACCCAAATGAATGAGACCATAAAATGTTTGTCCTTTTCCAATTGACTTATTTCACTCAGCATAATACCCTCCAGTTCTATCCACATTGAAGCAAATGGTGGGTATTTGTCATTTCTAATGGCTGAGTAATGTTTCATTGTATATATATACCACATCTTCTTTATCCATTCATCGTTTGATGGTGTCCCCATTTCCATGCACCTGATCAAAATTGGACGTTACTGGGATGCCTGGGTGTCTCAGTGGTTGAGTGCCTGCCTTCGGCTCAGGGCGTGATCCTGGAGTCCCAGGATCGAGTCCCACATCGGGCTCCCTGCATGGAGCCTGCTTCTCCCTCTGCCTGTGTCTCTGTGCCTCTCTCTCTGTTTCTCTCATGAATAAATAAAATATTTTTTTAAAAATTGGACATTACTAACTTTAAAAGTTTTAGTCATTCTGAAAGGAGTATAGAAGTATCATGTTGTTTTGATTCAAACTTTATATTATTTTTAGTTGGGCATACTTTCCCACAGCTTTATTGGCCAATGTGTGTGTGTGTGTGTGTGTGTGTGTGTGTGTGTGTGTGTGATTGTTCTTTGCCAAAGTAGATAATTATCGAGAGGACTCATATAGGAAGTGTTCAACAAATGTTTATTCCCTAAATATGAAGACACAACTTGAAACTAAGATGTTCACAATTCCTCATATTTGGTTTCAGGCTGGATGAAGGTGGAACTGAGTTCTAGCCTTATATAGACTTGAGATGCAGAAGGGGGAAGTCCAGTCTTGGAGACAGCACAACATAGATAGGGGCCTGGCCACCACAGTTAGAGTCTGGACTCAAGTGTAGGGAAGTGGGATTCAGGGCAGAGACTAGCATCAGAGGTCTTTTGCATCAGCATCAAAATGGGACCCTTGACAGGTATTAATTGCTGTAACAGGAACTGCTGACTCTAGATCCCCTGGGTCTCATAATCTAACTGGATCACGTACAAGATAGATGATTCTGTTTGAGTCCACACACAGGAGACCAGGCATAAGCATATGTACATCAGAGGTCTTGCAACTTTGGGAGCCCTTGGAAGTACATCCTGGCCTCACTGGGTGGTACATTCACAGGGAATATCTTCAGTCACAAAAATGATGAGGGCCACTTTGAGTAGCCACAGAGGCTAAAGATCTCATGGAAGGGTTAGAAGGAAAGAACACTGGAGTTTGCGGATGACAACACAGGAGACCACTTCATGTACCTCATCATTAATTGAAGTTGGCATTGTGGGGTTGGGAGGACAAGTGCTGAGGTCCTGTCAGTGGAGAGGAGTGTGTGCTAGAGCCACTGTAATCTGGGCTTTGAGGTTAGCATGATCTTATTTGAAACAGGCTGAAGAGCTTGGGGGTCCCTCTAGTTACAGTCTAAGGCAGAGTTAGATCTACAGGAGGAAATTAAACAGTCTTAGTTTCAAGCATTATAGACAGACATAACTCCATGAAGGTAACAGTATGTCACCGCGCAATAGGGCTTCAAAGTTATTTTTTACAATTAATTATATTATTATTATTATTGAATAGGTAAAAGAGTCACAGGAGTCAGTGCGGATCATAGATCAAAATCAAAGATACATATTGAAAAAAAACAAGAACCCACAACTCCAATTAATACCAAGTAGATAAGTAAATAGGTGAGCGAGGAGGGCTCTGCTTACAGGAGAAGCTAGTAGGTAAATGTGGAGGTGGAGCTAGGGTTGGAAGATCACTGCAACTGTCCACAGAGAAGGTTGGTTTGGGCAAGAGCCTCTTTGGATGTTAACTCTAGGGCTGGGAACTTTTAACGAGGGGCAGGATATCCTCATGGTTCTAAAGTGTCTCCACACAGACTACTTATTAGTTACAAAGGTAACAATTATAATTATATAGCAGAGGTATTGGACAACTCCTTGACCAAATCATCAAATTCAACATGCCCAACAAGGGGCAGGTGGATGCCATGTGCTTCAAGATGTGATGTCCTGAGGAGGATACAATATGGCTCACATAATATTCCAGACAGGGATGCATGACCTGAATCTGAAGATGGTGAATCATCATCAGACAGACTCAAGTGAGGAATGTCCTGTTAAAAAGCAGGAAGCTCTATTCCTCAAAAATGTCAATGTCAAGAAAGGTGAAAAAGGCTGAGGAAAGTTTCTGATTCAAGGAGGTAAAGGGACATGAGTGCAGTGCATGGCCCTAGATTGGATCCTGTGCTAGAGGCAAAAGTGTTGATGCAGAACATGATCGCATCAACCGACTAAGCTGGGACACCCATAAGCAGATTAGATACAAGTGCTAGGTCAACACTGAGCCTACTGATGTTGATAACTACAGTGCAGTTACGTAGTTTACATAAGAGAATGTTCCCATTCTTTGGAAGCGCACACTGAAATATGTAGGAGTAATGAGTTCTACAGTTTACTATCAAATAGCTCAGGAGAGTTGGACCGAGTGCACATGATACTGCCTGTGTGGTAAATGTTAATAATAAGTGAATTTGTGAGAAGAGTTTGGAGGTGCTGTTGATGCGGTCCTTATACTTGTCAATTTTTCTGTTCGAAATTATTTTTCAAATGAATAGCGAAGAAGCTTTTAAAAAACAAACGTATGCTGTGTAAAATCTTACTTCCAATCTGCCCCCACTCCCAGACCATTTGTATTAATTCCTTGTGTTTCCTTCTAAAGTGTCATTTTGCAAGCACAGGCTATTTATGCTCAGGTTATTTTTGCATGATGTCACAATCTAGAGATTTTTTTCAGCCTCTCATAAAGCCACACCTATAGGGTCTTCCTTTTTAATTTCTCCACAAGTCTTTGTTATCAGCATAACATGCAGGAGTGTCCCCCTTTCGCTGAGTCAGCAATAACAAATGCCAAATCATGATGACATCCTGCCTTCTCCTTCCCGTGGAGGCAAGGGACCCACAGCTCTTCTGGTTCATCCCGGGAAGCATCAGGCCCATCTAAAGCAGTGGTCTGTAGGGGATCCCTGGGTGGCGCAGCGGTTTGGCGCCTGCCTTTGGCCCAGGGCGCGATCCTGGAGACCCGGGATCGAGTCCCACGTCGGGCTCCCGGTGCATGGAGCCTGCTTCTGCCTCTGCCTATGTCTCTGCCTCTCTCTCTCTCTCTGTAACTATCATAAATAAATAAAAATTAAAAAAAAAAAAGAGTTTCTTTAAAAAAAAATAAATAAAGCAGTGGTCTGTAGACATGACTCATCAAGCAAATCTTGGGAGCTGATAATCAGCCAAAAGCTGGAATGACCAACC